GAAATCAACACTATCATAGGACAGGTTCAATAAACTACAAATAAGAAAGGGTGATAAGGAATGAAAAAAATGTGCATTGAGTTTAAGACAGTGTAAAACTCAGAAGACATATTTACTATTCAAGTATAAACTCAGTAAGGACTTGGCATAAATTGAAAGGCAGCTGCTGAGGTACACCTTTATAAAATAAGTCTATGAATTTACAATTCTACCTTCCAATTTTCAGATAATATTTTGAAAGCCAGATTAAATAATTAAATGATTTTCTGGGACATACTGTTTTCTACAGTGGATAAAGGAGACAGAAAAAGTAAATAAACTACTATTAATAAACCAGAAGAAAAATGGGTGATAAAGCACCTCTTAAAAATGTATCAGAACTTTATTATTGCAAGTAAATGCCACCAAGTATTTCAGGGAAGAGAATATTGAAGTTCTGTGGGGATGTTTGCAGAACACATTAAAAGCTTTCATGGTTTTAAAAGTAATGAAAGGATTATAACATTGGTACCTAAACCCATCGAAGGCACTACTCAAAAGTAAATATGAGTTGGGGGGAACTACCCGCTCGGGTCCCCCTCCTGTCCCTCTCTTGGACAGGAGCTTTCTCTCAATAAATATATTCTGCTCATAAAAAAAAGTAAATATGCGTCTCAGTGGTGAAAATTAGTGTATACATTCTAAATAAAATGTACGCCGATGGAACTCCTACTTAGTGTATTACACGACTTACACAGCAGTAGATACTGAATGAAACTGAATATTCATTCTTTTAAAAGATTCTTGATAAATTTAGAATGCATCTATAGCAATGTGAAGCCAAGATTCATCGTATGAAGGACAGGAGCCTAAAAGGATACGATCACATCTGTTTTATTACTTTCTTTTCCTGGAGGTATTGACTAAGAAAATTAACTGAAAGAAGGAGATTGTGGTATCAAGTTGTAAAGGAAGGTGTGTAGTTCCCACTGTGGCCTGTTCCGTTTGCTGCTTTAGGACCCTAGTCCTAGTGGGGTTATTTCTCTTGGCAGCCAATTTTTCCTTTTGGAGAAAGATTAAATCATTTTTAAAGAGAGGGTCTTTTCTTTTACTATTTATACAATATGCTTCAAAATCTCCAGCTCTTCTTGGTTGTCACTCACTCTCATTGGTTTTCATTTTTAATCAACGAAGTTTCCTCACCTCTACTTTCATGGTTCAAAAGAAGAAAAGAGAAGATACTAATTCAGAATGAGTACTATTAATACAGCAGGAATTCAGACTCCTGAAAAGTTATTTTTAGTCCTTGTTTTATACTTTAGGAACCAGGAAAAAGATTACAACTTTGGTTTATTTGATACAGTTCAGAAGACCATGGCAGTTTTCTAATGTAGCATCTTTACACATCGTTGAGACGCTCAACACAAATGATCTCACTGGACTAGCTACTAGGCGGTATTTATACTTTGATTATTGAAGCTTCCTTCTTTAAAAAATGCTATATGTAACTAAAATTATTGACATCAGATTTGCTTGCTAAAATTAAATTTTTGAATGTAGGTAATTTAGCTTTCTTGTAAGAACTCATTGCATACAGAAATTATTTGTAATTTAACTGACCTTTTCTGATTACAGTGTTAACATTGAAAAAAAATACTTATGGACTGGTATATCTGTAGTATTCAGTTGAACCTAATGCATACATATTTTGAAATGTTCTTCCTTCTCAGTAGTATATTTTAAATTCTCCCATATCATTATTTTATGATTTTTCTCTTGAATGTCTTTCCATCATATGAAATTAACCAGGAATCCTCATCTCACCCAGACATCTTCATCCTTAACTCCTTTTTCCTCTCAAGTTCTTCTATTGCTCAGGGAAGAAAAAAGAACTACAGTATTATTATGTGGTTGAATATAATATTCAAGTATTATAAGTAATATTTAAGTAAGTATTTCCTGAAGTAGGAAATACTTAAAATAAATGAGATTTTGGAAGTTTGGCTATATATATATTTTAAAAAACCATTTATTTATTTATTTATTTATTTTGTCAGGGTCTCACTACACAGCTCAGACTCATAGTAATCTTCTTGTCTCAGCCTCCCCAGCTCTGGGATTACAGGTGTGCCCTGTCACACACGGATTTGGTAGCTGGCTCAGCGTGCCCAGGGTTCTGGGGCTGGCACAGCTTATGGCACTGGGGACTAAATCCGGGTCCTTGTGTTTGCCAGGCAGGTGCTTAGACCTATCCCCTCATCCCTCTTGGCTATATCTTATATTTAAAGATGGGCGTAGTTTGCTTATTGATGATTAAACCACCTCTTTGATTATACATCTGTCTACTACATTCTAAAATGTTGTCACTCAGAAAAGTTTGCCGAAATATATTGGGTGAATTTTTCTGAGACATAACAGTAATTACAGAGTGTAATATGCACTACGTCATGTTCTCCAACAGGAAAGCTACTAGCCATATGTGAAAATTACATAAAACTAAAAGTTCCTTGATGCTGCCTGTGCCCAGTGGCCACCCACCTTGACAACAAGCTGTAGAACATTTCAGGAAGTTTCACTATGCAGTCTTTGGTGACATCTATAAGTGTTACCTGTTTGTTTCAAAAATTATTTTTTTCCTTTGGTCTTGTAAGTACTAATAAATACTAGAATTTGTCAGTATGGTTAGAAACACTAAACAACTCAGAATTAGAATAAGTCTTTGTACTTTTCTACCAACTTAATTTTTATGCTTATACAGTGAAGTAACACATCTCTCAACATTGGGTTGGCAGCATTTTGAAATTCTAGGAAAATATGTAGACTTTCTTGAGATGGCACAAAGTGCTGGTGGGCCTGAGGGCAGGCTTTTCCTTACTTGGTCAGGACCTAGACAAAATGATGAAGGTGAATCTGTTCTCAAAAGACATTCAGGAGCCAGACATGGTAGTGCCTGCCTATAATGCCAACACTTGGGAAGCTTAGACAAGGAGGATTGCTGTGAGTTCGAGACTTGCCTAAGCTACAAAGTGAGTTCAGGGCCAGCCTACACTATGTAGCAAGGCCTGGTCTTCAACAAAAAAATTTCTGATTTAAAAAATACATTCAGAAGTGAAGTCAGTGGAGAAATAATGTATTCATTTGAGGCATGTGGTTTTAGGATATATTTATGGTATTACTACAAGTTAATCCAATAAATACCTGTTAATCCAGGAAAAGATGAAACTACCAGAAAGTAAAAATGAGGAGTAGGAACCACCAATATTCCTCTAGCTGTTGATCATTCTCTTTCTCTTTCCACTCTTTGGTTTCCTGCACACAGAGCACATTTGTTCAGCATCAAGGGCCATTGTGAGGTACTCAGAAGGGATGATCTTCTGAGAGGCAGGAAGTGCTGTGACGCCGTCCTGTGTCCGGGGAGTTGAGCCCTGACTCCTGCTACCTGTGGGAGCGCGGCAAGTTACTTCATTCCTGTGTGTCTGCTTATTTGTAAAATGAGACCATCTTACTACCTACCTCTTCATGGTCTTGTGGGCTAAGGAATGAAAACATTAAACACATTAAAGATATAGGGCTAGTATTGCTAACAAATGTGATGTAGGTATCTCAGTGCTGAATAAACATAAGCCCCTATATAGCAAGGAAGCATACATTTAAACAACTAATTGCAGTAAGCCTGGATGAATTTTATTACAGGATAAGCTCAGTGTTCTATGAGCTTACATGTTGAAGTGACTTAATTTTTGATAATTAGTTTAACAAAATTTAGCTTTTCATATGTCTGGGTTTTATTTGAAATTGTTCTTTAGTAGAGTCTTTGATCAAATCTTATTCTTTTTATAGTTTGTATTCCTTAAATTTTAGTATCCAGATATGATAAATGTCTGAAGATTCTAAAATAGTAGTTAAAAATGTTACCCTGATTATGCTGGTAATATTATAACTATCAAAATTCTTTCCCTGTTGCTTTATATTTCATACTACGTTGCCAAAAAGGTAATAGAATCCTCTGTTAGGCATAGCATCTGGCTAATCAAAATAAAATCTATCTTCCAGATTTTTACAAGAAAGTCTGGTTAGCTTTGAGTATAATTAAAGAATACATTATTGAATACCCATTAAAAACAGGAAATTGTGAGGTGTGACTTTTTTCATAAATAGTGGGAGATAGTGTTTTTCAGCTCTAAGTAAGAAAAGGCTGAAGTGAGTTTTGAAGTACAAGCTACTAGGGACACCTACCTAAGAGTGAGGTCTTTCACTTCTTTACTGTACTCTGACATTTTTTAGGGCGCTCGGTTGGCCTTATATTGCATTCCATTAGATTCTCACCTTTATGTTTCTTGAGTCATAATGGAAAATGGAATACCAAATTCTTATTTACTAATGTATCTTGTTTTACAATATGAAAAGTGATCTTATTTAAACAAAAATAGGTGTGAGAAGTGTCTGTAGTATAAGAAACGCCTTTGCTTCTCTGCAGCTTGGCGTGGCGGGGTGGGGAGAGAGTTAGCAGCTGGAGCAAAGTCATGAGGCCGAGAAAGAGGCTCCCGGAGGGTCTTTCCGGATCCGACCCCCAGGGGCGCGAGACGCCGGCTTTCTCCCGCGTGGCGGCTGCTCCCCACCACTCTATCCGAAGGTGGCTTCCAGCTTAGTGCGCCACTTCATTTGCAGTTTGTCTTTTGCAAGAATAAGAGAGCACAACTGACCCTTGATGTGTTAAAGTGATGTATTTTAGAAATTTCAGATTTCAGAAACCTTGAGTGGTTCCTCATGAGGGAAGACAAAGACAGTTTTCATGTGGGTTTTGTTTGATGAGTGTGTTTTTCCATTTGCCTTCACACTGTAAACACTGGACATAATAATAGATGAATTATACATGTGTGCCGCCTTTACGTTTATTTAAACACATGACTTTAGAGAATTTGAAGGGCTCTCGATTCTGTTTACAATTACAAAAATACATATTTAACTCAACGCGATTATTTGCTCACAGGTGAGCTCATATTCCTTTGGTTTTCTCCTAGATTCACGAGAAGCTGCACTACTACGAGAAGCAGAGCCCAGCGCCCATTCTGCAGGGCGCGGCTGCCCTGGCCGATGACGTAAGTGTGCCTCAGCCGGCTGCGGCCAAGCCCATCCCAGCGCAGACAGATGTGCGCGGTCCTCCGAAGGAACACAGAGGCGGGTGCAGATGCTTCCAAAAGCCCTGTCATCACTGGCTTATGCTGATATTATGTTGATTTTCATTCACTTTCCTGTTCTGAAAATTGTTCTTGTAGCTGTGCTCCTGCTCAGCCTTGGCAACTACGTAATAGAAATTTTCGGCTTCAGACTGGAGAGGGAGAAGCTGTCAGGCATTAGTTTTCTGAGAAAGTCGCAGACAAGGGGAATGCTTTAGAGAAATAAAGACAAATGAGATAAGTTATATTGCTGACAGTGCTAAAAAATGACAGGTAGTAGGAGAGGAATGAGGCATATGAAATACATAAAAAGACAGGATTGTTTTTAAAATGGATTATAAAGGATAGCAATGATTTATGGATATTAGACCTTTCCAAATTACCTTCATAACCAAAAAATAAATTTTAGGAGCAGTTGGCATTGATGGAGTAGTTAATTTCCTGTGGCTATAATTTTATTTTCAGCCTGGGGGAGGGGAGGCCACTTGCTGATGCCCACTGCTAGCTTTCAGCCTCGGATGAATTGAGCGCACACCTGCATAAACTATGAAGGACACTCAGCGAGGCAGACTGGCGCAGTGCATGGCAGGGCTATCCCGTGGCTTACTTGTTGCTTTAAAATCACAGAACAAAATGTAATTCTGTCTAGTAAAATGTCAGGGTGATAATGCATCAAGAAGACTGGACATTTTCAGGAGTTGGTTTTCTTTGATATATTTTTATATTCTAATTAGAAGTTGAAGCATATGTATTAATTGTCTAGGTTGTGTGCTGTTTGTTTAGTCTGCAAGCATTTCCTGTCTACTTTTATCTACAGACATTGCAAGTGTGTTGAATACACATGTTTAATTTGGAAGTTTGCTTTTGTATTGTAGAACCAAAACTTTTGAGATGAAGAATAAAGGTATATAGTTGTCTTAGTGAAGCAAACAGCAGTTACGACTTGAAAAAGCCTTAAAAACCAGTTTTAAAACACTGTTGAAGGGCCAGCAATAGCTCAGTGGATTAAGTGCCTGCTTAGGCAAGTGCAGGGACAGCGTTTGATCCCCGGCACCACATGCTGTGCTGGCCCTGCCCTGGGGAGGGCTGAGCCGGCCCATGAGACCAGCTGTGGTGCTGCACACCTGTAATCCCAGTGCTGGAGAGGCTGAAAGCAGAAAGGTCACTACGAGTCTGAGCTGCCTAGTGAGACCCTGACCAAAGACATAAAAAACAAAACAAAACAAACACTGTTGAGCATTTTATGAAGCACTGGGTAGAAAATAATGTAATTGACCCTAAGCTTATCAGATTAGTATCTTAGGCTAGGGCGTGGCTCTCTGACCTAGTACTCAAAGGCTCTGCATTTAATCCTCAGCACTGAAAAAGTTACAGATTCATTAATTATATGAAAGATTAGAATCTACTCCCTAAACAGGGTAAAGCTATTTTCTAATTCATCAGAGCAATATATTTAAATGTTAAAATATATTGTACATTAAATGACTTAAAATACAAAGAACCTTTTGTTCCTTTTTGTAATTTAAAAATTCTGTAAAAATATTTTGTTGAAAAAGTAAAAGCAGTTTCTTAGTGCAATTAATGAATAAGTCAGTTTCTCTCTTGTTGTACTTCCTGTAAAAAGCCCATTCCCAGAGATAAGAATTGTTATTTTCAGCATGGCAGAAACACTAGGGACAAATGGAAATTTTAACTCTGATTTTAGAAAAGTTTTAAAATATAAAAATATATTTTAATTATATATTATATCTTTCATAATGTTAATGCTTTTTACCATTTGAATCTTGTTTTTTTTTTTTCTGTAAAATCACATAGCCTTACCTATAGCTTCAAATTGATAGAAATTTTCAATAGAAGATCCTTTGAAGTTTTCTTTTATTTTTAATTGGCAAATGACAGATGTATTCATTTATGAGATGCAATGGGATATGCTTGTTTGCTGCTTCTAACATACGCCATTTCTTCGTGGTGAGACCATTGACCATCTCTTAATGGAGAATGTGCAGCAGGTTTAAAGTTCTAATCCTTTCTTCAGATAGATAAAAGCCACTAGTGGGACTTTTTGATGATAACAGTGGAGTACAATGGGCAGTTTTAGTGATCAGACTACTGTAAGTTTATGATTCACTCAGTTTATATTTAGCATACTTAGTCTATACAGGTAAACATAATAAAAGTTTCAGGTCCTTTATTAGGAGCATTCCTGTTCTTTTCACCCCAGCTGTAAGTAGCCCAGCTACTGGGGACTTTTGGAAACCCCATGGATTTCACTCCCTCATTCGGGACCCCTCCCCCACATCAGAGCTCAGCCGTTCTTTTTACAAATGGTCCTTTGTCTGCATACAAAGACCCTTCATGGGATAAAGTGCTGGGACTTGCCCTCCTTGTAGTAAATCAAGAGAGTGATCTGGCTCCTATGATTACTCAAGTTGTACTCAGCCGAGAGCCAGGGCCTGAGTCTAGTCTACTGAGGACCTGCAAAGAAGTGTGCTGACTGATGGTCTGCTTTCTTTCGTGCTGACCTCTTAAACACTGGAAAGTGATAGCCTTGAACAGAACAGTCTCAGTTATGACACACTGAAACCCCACAATGCACTAACTAGACTCACATATGTCAATGTGATCTCCCTTGCAGCTGGCTGAAGAGCTTCAGAACAAGCCATTAAACAGTGAGATCAGAGAGCTGTTGAAACTACTGTCAAAACCCAACGTGAAGGTGAGGACATGTTATCCTGCAATAAATACCTTCTAGAAGAACTGCTTTCTGAGCCTTCAGATGAATTGTCTCAGGCATCAATTTTCAAGTAAATGTGTTTTCAAAAAGTGAACAATATTTTAATAACCAAAATCCTATTAAAGAAGAAAATTGAGCTTTTAAAAATTTATAATTTGACAGGTTACACAGTACTTTGAGAAGCACAGAGCTTAATTTGGCAAATATAATATAGCTTTATATATTATATATATATATTTTCCTTTTTTTGTGTGTATTTTTGAGACAGGGTTTCACTATGCAGTTCAGGCTGGACTTGAGCTCACTTTGTAGCCCAGGCTGGATTTGAATTTGTAGAAATCTTTCTGCCTCAGCTTCCTGTGTGCTAGGATTACAGGCATGCACCACACCTGGCTGTTTTTCTTTCTGATGAAATTAAGAGCACCAAATAGAGAACTGCCTAGTAATCTTGTTTAGGTTTCCTTTGCATGGCTAGTTAATGGTGTTTCAATATATTTGACACATGTAGATGTTTATGTAAATGTTTTTTATAGGATTATTTCAGCATTTGCCTTCCCTCTCCTCATTTTCTGTCTTTCCACCAAGTCATATTTCAAAGTATTATACACCTTTCCAGAACAGAGCTGTTTTCCAGTATAAAATAACTGTAAAATAACAAAAGACTTTAGTTCTTTCCTAGCTATTTCTTTCCAGGTTTGTCACTTATTTTTTCTCCAAATATTATTTGTGTAGAGAAGACATTTCACAATTTTCCTGATCTTACTCTGAAATCACTAATGCATAAAATTCCATCAGATACATTTGGAACTTAACATTACAGCAGTTGTGAATAAGACCTTGTTCCATGAGGCAAATCTACATATGAATTCCATAATTTAAGTGGTTATTTTATGATGATTACTGATAAGCATATATAGTATTAAATGAAAAATTTTGCCTAGGTTTAAAAACTGGCTTCTATATTCTTGGCAAAATGTCCTTTGAGACCGTATTATATAGATTTTAAATTTATGTTCAATAAAAGAAAGACAGTATCAAAGGGGAAGTAAAAACATGCATGGACTCTAATATTTAACCACCATAAGTAAGTATACAAATGCATTGCTATAGGGGTAGATGGACTATAAATATTAACGCAAGGATAATTGATTTGATGTGGTTCAGGACATTAACTCTTTTCCTCAGAGTACAACAGAAAAGTTGCTTGGTATTAAAGGATAGTGTGCCTGAAGTTTAGGAGCTCTAAAAAGGAGATATAACTCTTAAAAGCACTCTCAGAATTTCTTCATTTGGTCTTAGACTCCATGGAAGAAATTAATATCAACCAGAGCAGGACAAGGTCAGCTATTAAAAACTTGTTAAACTCTTTAATATTAGAAATTAAAGAGGTATGTGTCAAACAAATAATTTTGCTCAGCCATGTTTTAAATGGAGTATCTAATAAACAAGAGATTAATACTGGACAGAAACTGGTGTTTGGTTCAAGAGGAAGGTATGAGTTGAATGATATCATGATGGTCTATTTGATAAAATTTTGTAATGATCACTTAAATTTCATTTTGTGGAAATATTTTATGTGGATTATTTTCATATTGTATAGCAGTGCGATTAAAAACGGTAGAGAAGTCCCCATGAAATACAACATTGTGTTTGTTTTTGCAGTACCAGGGATTCAACTCAGGACCTTGTGTTTGCCAGGCAGGTGCTTAAGGCACTGAGCTATATCCCTGGTCTACCATGAAATATATAGTTGAGAAGTTTATGTAGACAGTGGGTGAGATTCCAGACATGGGACATTTCAGTTGGCTTGCCATTCCATGGCAAGGCAGTCTTGAGAAGAAAGTATCTTTCTTTCATTTTTGACTCCATATTTAACATGGAATTTCCTGAAGTCATGTATATAGTTAATTGCGATCCTGTTGAATATCACTTCTTCAGGCAATTACAGATCTTCTAACGCTGTTAAAAAAAACTTTTGTGTCCTTTCAGCTGGAACCACATCTTCCAGTAATTTGCCAAAATGACTAACACAAAGGGCAAGAGGAGGGGAACCCATTATATGTTCTCCAGGCCTTTTAGAAAACAGGGGGTTGTTCCTTTGGCCATATACATGCGAATGTACAAAAAGGGTGATATTGTAGACATCAAGGGAATGGGTACTGTGCAAAAAAGAATGGCTCACAAATGTTGCCATGGCAAAATGGGGAGAGTCTACAGTGTTACCCAGCATGCTGTTGGCATTGTTGTAAACAAGCAAGTTAAGGGCCAAGAGGATTAATGTGCATACTCAGCATATTAAACACTCAAAACGTTGTGATAGCTTCCTGAAACATGTTAAGGAAAATGATCAGAAAAAGATGGAAGCCAAAGAGAAAGGTACCTGGGTTCAACTGAAGCGCCAGCCTGCCCCTTTGAGAGACATGCACTTTGAGGACCAATGGAAAGGAACCTGAGTTGTTGGAACCTAGTCCCTATGAATTCATGGCATAAGCTGGGGATGTTGCTCTGCCATTCAGCACCTAATTGAGAGCTTAAGTGTTCTAGGTCCTATGTAAAAAATAAAATCATCCTGTGTTGTAAGGGTGGTTTTCTTAGTTGAATAGATATGTGGTGCCTTCTTCCTTCAGAAATATTTGCAGTTGATTTTCACTGTACCTAGTAATTATGTCTAGTCTTTACTATTCAATGTTTTTTTCTTGATGAAAGATACTGCTGAGGTATTGTGCAGGTGTATACTCAAATATTCAAATATTTATCAAATATATATATTGGCTTGAAGATCCTGTAAATCACCATGGGGGGAAAATGTATCAAAATAAATGGAAATCACTTCAGAAACAAATGTAAGTCCATTTCAGTTAAATAAATTGTTTAAAGCAAAAAACAACAACAACCATAACAACAAAAAACCTTGTAACTTTTTCTTGGTAATTTGTAAATGTTAATAGAGACATTCATCCTTAGATGTTTATTTGATGGTTACTGTGTGGCAGGCCTTTGGATCCAATTTATAGAAGATAGGTTAATGCAGGTGGAAGGAAAAATATTGGGTTAGAAAAGGAAGCATGTGGAAGTGATACAGAATGTACAGGAATCATCCTAAACCTGAACTGGGCCAGAGCGGAGGTGTTGTTGAAGAAAACTGCTGTACCTTGGACTTGAAGGTTGAGTCTGAGGTAACCAGAAGGGGCCAGAGGAATTGAGGGTGGGGTGTGAAAAACACATAATTGAGGTAAAGTGAAAACCTACAGAGTTTGAGGATGCAAAGCAAGTTTTGCTCAGCTGGGTTAAAGAAGACAAGATGAGAGTTTAGAGCTGCACACAGCCTTCTGCAGGGTCTTGGCCAGCGCAATCTGTTTTGTGCCTCTGGGCCCAGTGTTATTATTATGAGCCTTTCTTTCACAGTTGCTTCCCTATTTCAGTGATGAAGTCTGTGACCACCCTAATTGTGAGCCTATTAAAAAGTTTGGATTTTATCCTAAGTGCAGTGGAAAACCATGGAAAGGTTTTAAGTAAGGAAGTGACACAATCACTCCATGTGTAGAATATGGAGCAGATTCTGAGGTGGGTGGTGCTGGAGGGTGATGGGGAGGGACAGCTGCTCAGAGGATGGCCAGGGAGGGGCTGGAAAGAGTTTAAGTGGTCACCACTGGAGGCCTGCTAGAGGCAGTGGTGTGAGTTGTTTGGAGAGGTAACTTTGCCATTCAGAGTTAGAGTAACTGGTTAGCTATTTAGGGCAAAAATGAGAAAAAGTCCCTAATAGAATGATTCCAAATAGGTTAAAGGGTTTTGTGTAAAAAAATAAGCTATAAAAATATTATGGGCCTTGGCTGGGGAGATAGCTCAGCAGTTTAAGTGCCTGCTGGCAAGTGCAAGAAACCAGGTTCGATCCACTGTACTACATGCCATGCCGGCCCCACACTGGGCCCTCCAGGGCCACTGAAACCTGGCATGGTGATACACGCCTGTAATTCCAGCACTGGGGAGGCTGAAACAGGAGGATCACTATGAGTCTGAGCTGTGTAACAAGACCCTGTACCAAATACATTTTAAAAAACTCCATCTCTCTCTCTCTCTCTCTCTCTCTCTCTCTCTCTCTCTCT